TATTCGAGTTTGAATGTTTACTTGCATTTTCCGAGGTGAAAATGGAAAATTCCGGAAAATCGGACCTCACCATCAGAAAGCTGAAAAAATTTCCTATCAAAATCATTAGTTACTTATTTTTTTGAGGGGCGTTTTGATACTTTTACAGCGAGTTAGAAATTGAGTGATTCGGCCAAAAAATGACGTGCGGCAGAGCGCTAGGACACTTCAGGAAATTTGCCCCATATATAAAGCGACCGGGAAAACGTCAATTCGATAAGGCGAGCGGCTCGTAAATGATTCATCTGGTGCGTATTACCGTCGTGCGCGCTTACGACAAAAAATAAAAGAAGAGAAGAAAATGTAACGAGCATTACATTCGTGTATATGCCGTGCGGCGCGTGAGCAATAATATCGGAGCTATGATTCACCTCTCGGAAATCGCGTAATTGTGCTTCTCGCGCGTAGCAGCCTGCGCACACTCTTTCGATTCATTGACATTCATTGAGCTCGCTCGTCCCTCCTCGCACCGCACCTACTACACATCTATGACCCATACGCGTGTGTGCGCGCACACTCTGGAATTATAAAATGAACGCAGAGCTACGACGCGCAGATTTTTAAACCGCATAGAAATCGCGTAGAGCTGCGACTCGAAAGCGTCAAAAAGCCACGTTTCAATATGCAACATAATAATGCAACCGAAGGAGAAAAGCGAGCTAGACTGTGTGCTAATTGCGCGAGTTTGACGCGCGCGTACAGCTTTACAACAATATTCGTTATTTTTTAGAGTCGAAACGCTGAGATTTTTTTCTCTCTCCTCTTATCGCGAAAAAAAAATCGCTGGCCTCCTTTTTCGTCGCGCGCGCGCGCTCCTTTTGTGTATACGTATCGCTAGCGCAAAATTGTTCGTTTCGAAGACGAATTGAAACGAGCCCCGCACGCACCGACGCGTACAGGCTGCTAATTATGGCACAAACACACCATGGATCGTGAATGCGAGACTCGAACAATCGGTTCGCTACTTCGTTATTATTCTTTTTTTCCTGTGCGCGAATAATATATAATGCAAATGAAAAAAATAATAATTTCTTGCGGCACGAATATCGTGTGCGCGTTTCCCGAGGATGTCGAAGAATTCGTTTTTTTTTCTCTTTTCACTTATATATACAGGCGTACACAAGGCGTCAACGGCTTAATTTCGCGCGCGCGCGCGAAATTGATCGTTATGAATCACGGGGCCTCTATATGGAGCGAAGAAACTCGTGAATTCGTCACCGTGGCGCGATGCATCGCCGCAGTGTAGCGGATGCTCGTGTACGATATTTTTAAGTGTGCATCATAGCACCGCGTCAATTCATTATTATTGTCGTCGCGCGCAACGAGCAGACTTGGGTACGTTGCGCTGTCTCGCGCAGCGATCGCGGTTTTGCGAAGATTGAATTATATCTCGCGAGCACTCGGCACGGCATGAATGAATATTACGCGTGTGTGTCGTATACGCATACATCCAAGCGAGTGAATCGCAACGCGTGCGTGATTCAATCGGTCGATTACGCGTCCCACTTATTTTTTTTCCCGTCGCGTGTATATATACATGTTATAATGTTCGTCCAGTCCAAGGTACAGAATGCAACGAGACACGCTCGTCTATTATCGGAAATTTCGCAAAAGATGTTTAATGATGATCGCAATTGCTCAACGATTTGCTTCGCGCACGTATATACAGAAATTTCGCTCAAAAAATTCAAATCGAAGATCCTGGGAAAGGCTATATATTTATAGACGTTTACCATGGTGGTATACGCGCGGCTTTGGTTTCCAATAAGCGATCAAATTTTTTATTCCAAACGAGACGCGTAGTACCCGGGATTGCAAATTTGTAACCGACATTGTATAGCCTCTGAATTCATCCTTTACGGCTCGCATACCAGGCAGAGTAACAGCAGCAACAGCATGAGCAGTGGCTCGAGGTATTTCTTTTCAAGGCATAAAAACAAGCCGTTTCGTTCAAAGTCAACTTTTTTTTTTTCATCATCTTTCTTTCACTCTCCGTTTTCTTCTCGAATTACACGAGCAATATGAGTGGCAGTCCGGAGTTGTGCGCGCGAGTCTTTTCTGATTTTTAAACGCTTGACTTCACCGGTTCGCGAACTTTTTATTTTTTATAAATTTGTTCAATAAAATACAAGTAAACGAAAGTACCTTAGAAGAAGTGAAAACCAAAAACAATTATGATCGTTGCCGGCGAAAGTAACACTTGGTAATGCTTTTGTGCATGCACCAGAGAGCAAATGAGAAAAGTAAATCGGTCGATGTAAAGATTTTGTAATTTGCAATTAAATTAAACAAAAATTAATTTTCAAAATTTCTCAGAATTAATAAGCGAAGTTGATCAACTAGACCGTACGGTAAAATTAATTATCGCGCGTACCAATGAGTTTTCCATAACGATCCACAGGCCTCTCTGGCTCTCGAGAATAATTGACGCGCAGAAACTCAAAGGTATATGCCGGAAAGTCATCATCGCGTAAAGCGCGCGATTCAGACCCATCGAATTAATCGGCATAGATGCGTTGCTGAATAATTACTCACAGGAAACGCGCTCCGTATATTATACGACGAAACGCGTGGAAAATCGATCGACGCGCAGAAAAAGGCCAATGTATACACGCATACACACACGAGCCGTGTATACGTAATAATCGCACAATGTATATTACACAGAGGCACGCGGCGAAGCAAAAACTGGTTGGACTGCCTATATATATATACATCGTGTGTGTGTGTATAAAGTATAGTTACAGCAGCGGCCAGCCATGTATTACACGATCGGCGTAACTTTCTCCGTTTTCGATTTTCACGTGCGCTCGATCTGCAGTCGCGAGCGATCGCGAACGAGCACGTGTGTCCCCTCGAGCTTGTGCACCGAGTATATAGGTATACACGTAATTGCGATCGTCTAATTCGGTAATCCGCGAGCGAGAGATGGTATATACGCGTATCGCGATGAGCAGCAGGCAGCCTCCCGCGAAAGAAGATCCTCCTCCTCTTCCTACTTCGTCTCCTTCGATACTGGCGACCTCTGCCATACTTGCCACATGCATGTGCAGCGGCGAAACCTTTCTCTTTTGCGAGACCGTGTATATAACAGCGTGTATATAGAATACGACGAGAAGGACGACGACGATGAAGACGATGTCATTGCTGCCAGGTAAACGTATACTTATATCGAGAGATGCATATGCACGAAAACACAAAGAACGCGCACGACTGCGTTCGCGGCGATGAACCTCCGAAAAAAGAAATAAATAAAAGGAATTTTGCATGTACCTTGTGTATCGTAACATTTGTACGAAAAAGAATTCATAATTCGCTCCGAGTTTCGACATACTGTGGTATATTTAGCGCCTGGTTCGGCTATTTAATTCGTCTACTACCATAAGGATCATTTTAATATACGAGTTTGCCAGTTTTTCAGCATTATTATACGAGCGCGTATAAAGACGTGTACGTATAGCAACTTAGACGGTGTATACGATCCGGTGTCATCGACCCATAGCCTCTCAGCTACTCGACGCGCGAAGGAGCTCGTCGTCGTTCTGCATCGCGTCTTTGCAGTATATATATGTACGCGAGTGAGTGTAGGAGGTTAAAAGACGTTACGCCGTGGTGCACGTTTAATTCAATTTTTTCTTTCTTTCTTTCTTTCTTTCTTTCCTTTCCATGCACGGCTCAAGCTATATATGAGATGTTTTTCATCAAACGAGCCTAGAGAGGAGAGTCACTTAATTAAGCCGAAGGGGGACAGAGGAGGAACCTTCGCGCGCGCGCGGCGAATTCAACGACTTCAAATGAATTATAAACTCGAGTAGAAAGAATGTATCGGTCATTCGCGCACTCGGTACAATTGTATTTTGCGATCCAAGTATATATGTGTATGGTACTTATAGGTACTACACATACACTCGGCTCGATCGTAAGCGGCACTATATAGCAAAAGGGCAAGTCTTCGATGGCAGTCTATATAGCGTGAGAGCTGCCGCGGCCGATCGGAACGAAAATTCTTTCCCCCCCGACTCTCTCGGACTGTTCCGAGTTGTTATATAGTTTGAAGAAAAAAAAACAGCACGTGTATCCCGCCTGCACTAGTCGCGATAATTAGCACGTCGGTTAAATACTCGAACTCTCGTGCACCAATAAAAAAAAAAACGCCACTTCCGCCCGGTAAGATACCATTCAAGTAAGTAAGTTAGTATTCGCTTTAATGTTTTTCCGTTTGTCGTCGTCAAAAAGCGAGTGAAAAAAACGAAAAGAAGACGTGGTTGTACGAAATTAGAAAGACGCGTTAATAATTTTCACGAAAAATTCACGCGAGCATGTCGAGAGAAATATGAAATTAGTAATAATAATGATTCGTAGGCAGCTCTTTTCTCTCTCTCTCTCTCTCTCTCTTGCTCATTAGCCGCTTCGGAGAGCTCGAATCGTAGCGCAAATCTTTCGCGCGTATCGTATATCGCGACTTATACGCTACAGTCATACATGTCAATCTCATTGGCTTAATTAGCCGATGATTAATACCAAATATATACAGAGATATTGCGTTTTTAATGAAATCGTATAACTCGTCGTCACCTGCTGTGTCGCGTATTATTCGCTTGTTTTTTTTTATATTATAAAAAATAAATAATCATCGCTGTTGAACTCGACGATTCAGCAAATAACAAAAGCAGGAAAGGCACACACGAGTATAGACATAATATAGTACGGTATGAATCGGCGCGATTCGCGATCGAGTCACCAGCCGTACACGGGCTTGAAATTTTTTAATACGCAGGTAACTCGGGGATCCAACGGCATTAAGGTTCAACGACCTCGAGAGAGCGACTCCGAGTTCGAACTCACACAGATAAAAAAAAAGAAAAACATCCCAACGAAAAACGAAATAGTAAATCCGTAAATCGATGAAGCGGCGATGGGTATTTGTAGTTATAAGAGGAGATAACGAAATATAATGAATTTCATGTACTCACCTCGGCTTTGAGCAGACCACGCACGGTGATGCCGATCATCGGGGCGAAACGCACCTCGACACCGGGCTCGATCACGAGCTGCGCGTCCGCCTCGATCACGAGGTCCTGGCGCAGCACGTAGGGACTCTTGGCGCGCTCCAGGACCCGCTGGTTACGCAGCACCCGGCCGAAGGCGAGCTCGGTCAAGCCCCTATAACCCGACTCGAGCGAGTTGGAGCTCGCGTAATTCGGCTCGGTATAGTAGATGGCGGACGATTCGGTGCTGGTGGTGGTGCTGCTACTGCTGGTGCTCGAACCACTGCTGCCGCTGCTGCTGGTGATGCTGTTGTTCTCCTCCTCGGAGACGACGAGCTGCTGCTGCTGGCTCGACTGCAGTAGCAGCAGTAGCAGCAGCAGCAGAAGCGCCGACCAGCCTCCGTTGCGAGTCATCTTTGCTGATCGTCGTCGACGTCTCTCTCACACGGCCCCGAGGCGGATCGTCGGCGTGAGCTGGTGAGACGGCGAACGCTCGGGATCGTGGAACATCGCCGATTGCGATGCGAGCGGGGCCGGTGGGAAACTATACTTGGATCGTCACCACAGCACACGTGCACTTTTTTTCATACCCAGCGTCACACTGGCGAATTTTCTCACTGCCTCTGTTGAAATTCAATTCACAATTTGAGTCGTTGCACTCTTCTCGTCATTTTCATTTTAATTACAATTTTCTATCGACATCGAAATCTTGAAAATTAAAAAAAAAAAAGACAACGTGCACGCGCGAGAAAGAAAGAGAGACGTTAATGCCCGATTTTTACTTTTGTTTTGAACTAGACAGCACTAAGAGAAAAAACGATCGAGCCGAGCGAAGAAACTATTTCACTTTTCGCAAGAAGCCCGATGTCAATTTCTATACAGGCTCGCGATTTTTTTGGCACACCACTCGACTCCTTTTTTTTTCAAGTTACAACGGTCGTCGTCTTCTTCGTCACGCGCGTGTGTGTATATCGGGACTGCGCACAGTAGTAGTACTATATACATACTACTGCTTGGGACTCATGGCTCAACAATCCAACTTCGGCCTGCTAAAAAACAGGTTTTGGCCTCGATACAACATATACCTATATACACCACTATACAACGTGTGGGTATCGTCGGGTGGAGGTAAAAGGTGCGAAACGCGTGGACCGATGCGCTAACGAGATGGAGCTGCCGAGCCGATTTTTGAAATTTCGAACGCCGTGATCAACCGTTTCTTTATCGACGGCGAGTTCGCGCGAGACATCGGAGTGGAAAAATCGTCGCGTTTTTATCTCGTGCCGCGTTATACGTTGACTCTATACTATCGTGTATACCTTTGCAGAAATTGCACTCTGCACGCGACCGCATACAGAGGCGGGGGGAGGGCGCGCGAGTATACACAGAAACGAATGAAAAGATAGACGAAAATCACAGCGAGGAAACGAGTAAATATGTAGGTGAAAAAGTTATAAAAAAAAAAAAAAGTAGCTGGCAGGTATATACACAAAAAAACAAAAGGCCTACACAGCGAGCGAGCGAAAAAAAAGGACAATGGCTAACGCGCGCGCGCGTTCGATGCACCGAGCGCATACAACACTACTACTGCGCTCTGGGTGCGGTTATTCTGGCGTGGTACTACATACCTCGCTCTTTTTCACTGTACACACACGTATACGTGTGTATAGGTATATATATATTTATAATATGCCCGCGCACTGCACACTGCACACCGACTGACTGCCGCTGTACGAATACGCTACTATATACTGTAATACTATTTGCACGAAGAAGAAAGAGAGGCACCAAGCGCAGCGAGTATACACCGACGGAGCATGTACACCAGCTTGGACTGGCAAACGCGAACTGACTATATAAACCGCCTGCTGCCTGTTGTTCTTTGCGCGAAGCTCAGTCGCGCGACGAGAGTTCTTGTGTATATCACAACGGTGGCGGCTCGGCGATCGGCCCCGCGCGCGTACCGTCGAGATGCCGTATACACACACACACACACACACGCACACACACATATATACGCGGATAAGCGAGTGCGAAGGGGGAGTCACGTGACCGACTGTCCTCCTCCTCCTCGCAGCAGTTGCCGTGAGCCGTCGACGCCGCCGCCTCGTGCAGGTTGGGAAACTATAACAGGTGAGCTATATGTATATAGCTCCGAAGGAAGGTGCCTGACTTTGCTCTGTATATCGGTGCTAGGTAGATATAGGCCTATGGAGTCGACGAGCCCCGTCTCTCTCTCTCTCTCTCTCTCTCTCTCTCTCTCTCTCTCTCTCTGTAATGTATTGCAGTATTATACACAGTATATAAATAGGCGAACGCTTACTTTCCGCGCGCGATCACGACTCCGTATGCAGTGGCAGGTATAATATTGTATCCTTTGGAGCGGCTGTATACTGACTCAGCTCCGAGTCCCGCAACACATTCGTATATGTGAGCTACTGCTATCCGCGCGATGTTTACGCTGCTGCTGCTGCTGCTGCCTGAGCTGACTCTTTAATGCACGTTAGGATGCTAATGCCGCCTACGTATATATATATACCTACCTTGCATGTTTATATATATACACCAACGATGCGTGGGAAAGCCGATGCGACGAGAATCGCATATGATATTCTATGGGATGTATTCGTACGAACGATTGGCCCTTTTTGCACTTTCAATTTGCGATATATCGTTGCGGGTACAAGTCGATGATCGCCGAGCCGTCCCGAGGCTTGAATACAATGTTCGAAAATTCAAAATTTGTACGCGCGCGCGTGTGTGTTTGTCTGTAACGGTGGACTCGTATAATACAATGGTCGAACGAGATGTTTGAACTCGCTATCGATAACGACGATACAAACTCGAATTGCGATATCGGAGGTGCGTATATAATATACACGAATAGCACCGAGATAAAGCAGCGTCGATCAATATTGTACGATCTATTATATTATTTCATGTAGGACGTCGGAGCTGCACCGGCTATACGTACGGAAAAGCTAATATTATGAAGAGTCGCGGATTATATTACGGCAGATGTAAGTCAGAGTGTTTGTTATCGGGTCAGTAATGCCTCTGCATCGTCGTGTGTGTGAGTGTGTGTGTGTTGTGTGAGACACTCGTGCCGCGCTTGTGCGTGCACTTGTGTAACAATAACATTGAACAGAAGCTGCTCTTTCTCTCTCTCTCTCTCTCATTCTCTTTGCCATGATTTCGAGTGCGCGTCCGTTCGTGAATGTATTATACGTGTGGCAGGCTCGCGCGGAGAGGCAAAGTTTTATGACTCGCGCGTTACACGTTGAATAATATTACGTTTTTATGTGTGCATGCATGCACGCACGCATCGCGAGGCGAAAAGAAACGTTCGACCGCGATCGGCGCAGCGGTTGCGTAAGAGAAAACGTCGTACACAGCTTCAAGCAGCACGCAGAATACAGCGTGAGAGAGAGAGAGAGCACATGCCTATATGTCGCTGCCTTTTTCCGATGCACCTATACATACGCATTCAACACGTTATTTTTTTTTTTTTTTTTTTTATATACGTAAACACGGTTTGTTTACGCGCGTTCGTGCGCGGCAAGTGGCGCGTCGAATCGTAGAATCGAAGACAAGAGTGTTTTCGAAGAAGCCAGCAGTTTTCGGAGCACCCCGCGCGCATTTACAAAAATTCCCCGAGTTGTCACGTGAAATCGAATGCTGCACACGAGCACGTGTATCTCGTATCAGTGACCGTATATACACACACAATCCTTTACTTCAGCGATTCGCACGCGGCCATGGTATTATATACCTCCGCTGCAGTGTATTGGCCTTTCTCGAGTTCACTCGAGAGGGTTGCCTTCCCGAGACGCTTTAGTATATATATTTTGAAGAGAGAGAGAGAGAGGAGCAAGTTTATATACAAAGAAACGAGCTGGCACACCGCCTCACCTGTAAAAGGCACGTCGACGCGCGCCACTGCTGCTCGTACCGCACTACGGTCTATACTATGTTCGCCAGGCGCAGCACTCGACTCCCCCTCATAGATATACATATGGCCGATTCTCTGTGAAATCGAATGGCCAAAAAATTTTTTTTTCTGCAAATATGAAAAACTTGCTGTTCCCGATGTCAGAAATGTCCCCAAATTTTATTAGAATTTTTGGGACCATCTATCACTCTTTTTCAGAGGCCCGAAGTTGGCCATTTTAGGGTTTTTTTGAAATTCATGAAAAATCACAAATATTAAAATAATTCCTGGATTAAAGTAGAATGATTCAAAAGTAAAAGTGCCCAGCAACTTTTTTGTTGGAAATTGTCCAAATTTTCAGAAAAAAAATATGCCAAAGTGATTGGAACAATCTAGGTAAGTGTAAAGCAAAAAAACTGCCAAAGGGACATAAATGATGAAATCTAATCGAGTTCGAACCGGACTTTCATTTCCTAAACTATGTAAAAAGCTTCCCAAAGATGTCAACTACTGCCTGATAAAGTTTTGTAATGGGTCTTAAAGTTTAACGCAATGTAGACAACAATGTGTGGCGAAAAACATGCAAAAAAGGTCAAAAATAGGCCCAAAATGCCTAAAATCACCAAAAACAGCCATTTTCAGGCCTTTTTTGCATGTTTTTCGCCACACATTGTTGTCTACATTGCGTTAAACTTTAAGACCCATTACAAAACTTTATCAGGCATTAGTTGACATCTTTGGGAAGCTTTTTACATAGTTTAGGAAATGAAAGTCCGGTTCGAACTCGAGTAGATTTCTTGTTTTATGTTTTTTTTTTAATGTTTTCCCACTATGCTCTCTTTGGGTGGCTCCAATCACTTTGGCATATTTTTTTTCTGAAAATTTGGACAATTTCCAACAAAAAAGTTGCTGGGCACTTTTACTTTTGAATCATTCTACTTTAATCCAGGAATTATTTTAATATTTGTGATTTTTCATGAATTTCAAAAAAACCCTAAAATGGCCAACTTCGGGCCCCTGAAAAAGAGTGATAGATGGTCCCAAAAATTCTAATAAAATTTGGGGACATTTCTGACATCGGGAACAGCAAGTTTTTCATATTTGCAGAAAAAAAAATTTTTTGGCCATTCGATTTCACAGAGAATCGGCCATATATAGTAGTAGTAGTGCGCATATCAAACGGTTCTCTCTAACAAACTCGCATACATGCTTCGGCGGTGCCGGCCGCGAGTCCGAAAGACGGCGCGGTGTTTTGAAGGAGCGCGCGGCCGACCCGTTACCATGACGACCTCCAATACCGCGTACCATGTGTTATAATGTGTCCGGTTAACTGCGGCCGAGCCCCTACTCGTAGATCTGCTTTTGCACATCCAACGCGCAGAGAGCCGGAGTGGAGTGGGCTTTCAGGCGCTCGTCGTGCGATTATATTTGGTTTCTTTTTTTTTTTTTTTGAAAATGCGTATTTTTTGTTATAATTTTGTTGCAAATTAATTCGAATGTTGTCTTACCAGAAGATAAGTTCTTTTTATTTAATTTCCAAGGTACCAAATAAAAGTATCCGTCGTTTCATTTAGACATAAAAAATGGATAGAAGTGAAAAGAATGCAACAAGTGTCAAAAAAATTTTGGACAAAAATCGTATTTGCTTGTTAACCATAAAACAGATTATGAGAGTCGTAAAGATTTCGAATTCGAAAAATGACAGAAAGATTTTGCATGCAAGAAATAGGAGAGAAAATTTATATATTGATGTCATTTGCTCTTTTACCAAAGAACAGTCCACGAAGGTCGCAAAGATCATGCATGCAACAGTTGCGAGAAGAAGTTTGAGCATAAATCGCATTTGCTTTGCCACCAAAGGACAGTCCATGAGGGTCGCAAAGATTACGCAGGTGATATTGTGAGAAGAATTTTGGGGGGTCAAAGTACTTCCATCAGAAACAAAAAAAAACAGTTCATGAAGTTAGTAAAGATTAAACATGCGACGAATGCGAGAAGATATGACGATTGACAATCATAAATATTGTATAGATACTTACAGAGATATTTTTTTTTAATTTCAATAAACATTGTGGCAATAAGATTGTGTCTTACCTCGCATGCTATCAGCTATCATTACACCTTCGTTCATAGTCGTTGTGGTGCTTTACTACTAATTAATTAATACTCAATGTTAATTTTATAGTCTACTTTTCTGCAAGCTCTTCATGCAAGGATCAGCTCAAATTTTTTTCATGTCCCGCGAAAAAAAAAGATCTTTTTAAGATCTTTTTAAGAACGTCTCAATTATGAGCCTCAGTGAGATGCTTTGAGATGTTTTTAAGACGCTCAATAATTGATTTTTACTGAGACGTTTCCGAGATCTTATTAAGATGTTTTTTTTCTCGCCGAAAAAGATAATTTCCAGTTTTTTTTTGTCAAGTTAAAGTCTTTTTCGACGAGAAAAAAACATCTTAATAAGATCTCGGAAACGTCTCAGTAAAAATCAATTATTGAGCGTCTTAAAAACATCTCAAAGCATCTCACTGAGGCTCATAATTGAGACGTTCTTAAAAAGATCTTAAAAAGATCTTTTTTTTTCGCGGGGTATTGATTGGAATTGTGAATGAAGTACTAAATCTGTGAATTTATCATAGACCAGATGTGGTATGATCATCTTAAAATCGAATCTTGAATTTTCAGTAAACCTTCAAACAACTGCATCTTCTGTTCTAGAGAACTTTGAGAGTTTTTAAATGTACCAAATTGAAGGTAATTTTGTATTCTCTAAGAATATATAACTATCATTGGGGTTCAAGTTTGTCTAGCGTTTGTAACTCTTAAGCAACTGAAAAAATAATAACAAATCGATGCTTCCTAGCAGCAAGATGCCAGTTCACAGAGCAGAGCCGCATCATGCCAGTTCAGAATCTATTCGGCGAGATGCTAGTTCGGCGCGCCGTATTCTGCATGATGCTTCTTCGAGGCCCATGTAGTAAAAATAATAAAAATCAAAACTAGACTGTAGATTACACTTTGCGAGGACAATTTAAAACTGTACACGATTTAATTTTCAGTTAAATTCGCACCTCCATAGAGTTATGGAATTTTAAATTGCCTTCGCAAAGTGTAATCTACAGTTTAGTTTTGATTTTTATCATTTTTATTATATGGGCCTCGAAGTAGCATCATGCAGAACGCGGCCACGAACGAGCATCTTGCCGAACGGCGCGCCGAAGTAGCATCTTGCCGAATACATTCTGAACTGGCATGATGCTGCTCTGCTCTGTAAACTGGCATCTTGCTGCTAGGAAGCATCGAAATGTAGTTTCGAGCGCGACACAGAAAGTTGAACGTTTTATATTGTAGCCTCAGTAAAAATAAAAAAAACCCTATATAAAGTTACATGGTTGAAAACTTCTTTAAGAGACGAAAAAATTGGTTACTCGATCGTCTTAATATCAAAAAAATTACGCAACATACAGATGTACGAAGATAAAAAAAAAACGAAAAAAAATTAATGTAACGTGATTTTTCAACCTTCCTATGGTTATATCTTTGCTTCTAAGGCACCTAGAGGGCTAAAATTTTACAGAGAAACTTCTGCAAACGGGTATAACAAGCCTTGAAACTTTCAGACCAATCAGTCAATTTGGTACAGAAAAATCTGGCAAAGATTTCATACTGAAGCATAAAGATATTGTTTTTACGAATTTCGAACTTCAGGCTTCATGCGCCACCTGAAAACATCATTTGTTTGCGCCCAGCTCGTGACTTTTTTCTTTTTTTATCTTAAACTTTTAATAAATTACTTTTTCATACCAGCGGCCCGAAAGTGACTACTTCCCTGCCGCTGCGCAAAGCGGGAAGAGCGATTTTCGGGCCACTGTGTATGAAAAATAGTATACAGGCCTATGCCGCGAAAAAAGAAAGCCCCAGAGCACGTGTTTATTAGCCTCGGCTTCGCCTCGGCCACTAATTACACGTACTCTGGGACTTTTCTGTTTTTCGCGGCCTAGGGCAGTAATATACTATTTCGTTCCGCCCTAGTGTTCATCCAAATTGGGAAATATACGATACTGCAGCGCCTCTCAGTACACAATATGGGCGTTCCATAAGAACTAGTGGTAAAGTCAGCCATACCCTGCTCATCTAGTTCTCGTGTAAATTAACATTCGATGCCCAGCGGCGCTGCGGTGGTTAATGGCTCAATTAGGCAAAGTTCTCTAGTTTTGGCCACCAGAGCACAGCAGCGTCTTGAGTTTCAAACGTGTGTTATTCATCATATGCTAACACTGTAAAAAATCATTAAAAGTTAATAATAAAAATCCTAAGAACGTGACTTTCATGGTGATTGTACATATCTATCTATTGGAAGCGGAAATAGCTCATTGTCATACTCGCTTTACTTGAGAGAAAAGAAAAGGTGTCGATAGATAAAATGAGAAGAAATTGACAGCGTGGCGCAGCTCACTAGTTTTCTGTCAAAATGGTAAGACATGCTTTCTGCTGCGATTTATGCACTTGTTGGGCTGTATACTTTCATGTACCAATGTTACTGGTGCAAACTCAAAATTAGCAAACTTATACTATAGCAGGCCATTTATTTTTTTAGGAAAGAATTAAATGGAAATGGATTACTTCAGTCTTGATATTGCTCTTCATCAAGGCTCAATCATTCCAGGCCCTAGGAGTTGCTCCTGTGAACTACATAAAGGGACAGGAAATAGATGTGGAAGGGATCAAAATGTTTAGTTCTCGTGAACAAATATTTTATGAATATTATTCATTACCTTTTTGTTTGCCCAAAAATGATGCCATATCGTATAAATCTGAAAATTTAGGGAAAATTTTAAGAGGCAATGGGTGAGTTTTTAAAATTTAGTATCTCATAGTAAAAACATGATTCACAATATTTTTCATGCTTATTGGAATATTTCAGAAATGTTAATACGCCTTATAAAGTTGCAATGGCACAAAATGCATCTTGCAAACTCCTTTGTCATACACCAACAGAACCCATGACTTGGAATGAAAGTTATTCTTCACTCGTCATTGAACGAATTCAACAATCATACATTATCTATTTGTAAGACATCTAAAGCTTTTTTATAAGGGTAGAAAAAAAAATTATACTCAATTTAATATATTTTTCTTATGTTAAAGATCGATAGACAATTTTATAGCAGCAACTATAACTAAGAAAGGGCAAGACACATATATACGACCTGGTTATTATGTAGGTGGTATTGATGAGAAAAATAAGGTTTATATTAACAATTATTTGAAACTTAAAATAGCCTACCATAAACATGGAGAGTAAGTTTGATAAATTTCTAAAATTAAAATTTGTCAAAATTTAAATTTTCTTTATTTGTGCATCAATGCATTATATTGTTTTTAGGAATGAATTTAGAATAGTTGGTTTTGAGATAGAAGCTTTGTCAGTAGATTATAACCAGGTAGGCTATGACAGCGATACTTGTAATATTCCACCACAAGCTAGTCTACAATACATCAATCCAAATGGAACCAAAATTCTATTTTTCTATTCTGTTGAATGGGAAGAATCTGATGTTACATGGGCTAATAGGTGGGATATTTATCTTACAACGTCTATTTCAGATAATCGTTGGAATGGTACTATCACAATGACACTACTTTTAATTTTATTTTTGGGTAAGTTAATACTTTGAAAATCATACAATACCTATATTATTATAATATAAAAGAGTATAATATAATATTACTTTCTAGGAAGCTCATCTTTTTTGTTGTACAAAACATTAGAAAAATACATTTCAAGGTGCATAGGTGTTGATAGTGATTATCTTGCGAGATTAGAAGAAGCTATTGAAGATCCAGAGGTGTACCATGTTGTTTATGCTGATGTATTTAGACCTCCCACTAACTCTCTTCTGTTTGCTGCTGTTATTGGTAGTGGTATTCAAGTATTTGTGATGACATTTATTCTTGTCCGTAAGTTGACTTATTTACTGCATTTGTAAATATTCTGATAAGAAATAAATTATAATTTAATAAATCTTATAGTTTTTTTCATGCTTGGAATATTTTCATCAGCTAGTAGAGAAGCTGTAGGAACTTGTGCAATTTATTGTTTCGGTTTCTCTGGACTAGTAGCTGGATACTTTTCAGGTAGATTATATAAGACGATGCAAGGAGAAAAGTGGAAAAAATCGGCTCTTTTGGTAATTTTTTTGTATACCATTTATTCAATTCATTTGAAATACTATCATCAGCATTTACATTTTTCATGCAATTTATAGACTGCAACTTTATATCCTGGCATAGTATTTGGAGCATATTTTTCCCTTAACTTTTTTTTGTGGGTACAACACAGTTCAGGAACAGTTCTTTTTTCAACAATGATTTCTTTGCTAGGCGTTTGGTTTGGCATTTCTTTACCATTAGTTTACTTAGGTTACTTCTTTGGCTATCATAAAAAACCTTTTTTTTATACTGTTAAAAATAATCACAAGCCAAAAAAAATTTCTAATCTCATATGGTTAGTGAATCTTGCAATCAGGTAAGTTAGAGAAATCACAAATTTTTTATTATTTATTCATTATATCTAATAATAAATTTTCTGTTGTTAATAGCTTGCTCATGGGTATAATACCCTTTGCAGTATCTTGGATAGATATAACTTACATTATGACTTCAGTATGGAAAAACTATGTATACAATGCCTCAGGATTTCCATTCATAATTTTTATCCACTTAGTAATATCTTGTTATGGAATCACTATTACCATGGTTTACTGCCAATTAGCTGCGGAAGTAAGTATTTTAATTGTCTTACAGATTGCTTTGATGATTTAATAATTTATTTCACCGACACTTCATTTTAGGATCATAGATGGTGGTGGGGAAGTTTCACGTTTGGTGGAGCATCAGCTGCATACATTCAGTTATATTCAATACATTTTTTCTTTAAAAAATTATATATAACAGAGCTAGCTCCGACTTTGATGTATTTCGGTTATATGGGCCTGGTAGTTATCACATATTGGTTGTTTACTGGAACCATTAGTTTTTTTATTTCTTATATGTTTATCAGAAAAATTTATGCGGTTGTTAAATTAGAATAGTTACATCAAATGATTTTGTTAGCTAGTGCATCTGTTTTGCCAAAATGGTACTAATGTATTTCTTTGTTTTGCTGATAACTAATTTTCATTTGATATGATTGCAAGTTTGGTTAAAATCATCTTAGTAATTTCAAGATCATAGTTAATTATTTACTAATTTTAAGAAAATTAGAGACCTGTTTTTTTTCGTATTACCAACTTCATGAACCAACTATTTTGTTATGCATCAATTAGATAAGTTAGTGTGGTTTTTATTAATGTTAAAAATGCAAGTTAACTTCAAGTAAAAATCAAAGTCGAATTATCATTTTTATAACACACTATCAGTGTGTGTGATCGCGGGTGTATATACTGTGTATTATATATTAATGACTCTAATTAGGTATGATTCTACTTTGTCTAATTCGAAGTGTATATAAATCTAATTTCATATGAATCTCACTCATTCTGTAGTACTATAATAAAACAAATTAAGACATGTTATGAATACCCTTTTTTTTTAATTTTCCCATTAAACGATTTTCTTAATTCATTTTTATGTCTGAATTATTTTCGAAATCGTTGGAAGTTGATATTTGTTTACGGTCTATTTTTGGTTTTTAATAGCTTGCGATTTTTCATCGGCTAATCGCTTTTGAATTGCCATCACTTTTTAGAAATTACACAACATCTTTTTTGCATAGATATAAATACATTTTTTTTTTCAAATTTTTCTATATTGAGATCTAAAGGTAACTGTATGTAATCCTTGCGGTGTTGTGCTCATTCATTACGAGGGATTAATAAAAACAAAACGCCTGAGGTTCTTTATATCATTATATTTGTGCTCCGGTTGAAAACAAACGCTCGAAAAAGCGAAAAAAAGTCGGCTCCGGATCCGTCCCTACCGGTGAGTCGGCAGCTCGTTGACGGCCCACTCGAGCTCCTGCGACTGTCCGGTCCTGGCCGATTTCTCGCAGGCGTCGGCGATCTTCGACACGGCCATGATCTCCTTCTCCTGCACCAGCGGCTGAGCCTTGCCCAGCGCCACGTCCAAAAAGTGCTCCATCTCCCTGGCGTAGGCGTTGCGGAATCGGCTGGCGAACGAGTACCAGATCGGCGGCTTGCGCTGGCCCTGCTGGCCCAGCTGGGCCGTCACGCAGTGAATGGGCTGCTCGTTGGTGGCGTCTATCAGGCCCTTGGGTCCGAACACCTCGACGCGCTGGTCGTAGCCGTAGCACGAGTTGCGCGACAGGTCGACCATCCCCACGGTGCCCGAGGGGAAGTGGAAGACAGCGGCGACCGTGTCGAAGTCGTCGATCGCCTTGATTTCCGGTATCATGGCGCTCGCGTGCACGCTGACCTGTGAGGCAACCGATTTCATCCGGTTTTTTATACAAAGATCTTCCGACGAACATTTTTTCATGAGAAAGTCTTATAAAGTCTAAAAAAGCCTTAAAAAGTCCTGAAAATGCTCGGATTTTGTACAACTGATTAATAATTTTAAAGAGTTAATAAGAGTTTTTAAAAATTCCCGAAATTTTTTTTAGCAAAAGTGTCAAGTTTTTTTCCATTTTTTCTAAATTGTTCATATGGTCATTCGCAAAGTTTTTTCACCATGACTTTCAACAAGCGTGGATACCGATCAAAAAGTTCTTATAAATATGAAAAACTTTTATCAACGTTTAATAACTCTTTGAAACAATGAATGACACTTGTAAACATTTTTTGAAAGTAAATAAGCGATTTCCTTACCCGTCTGAATATGTCGGAAACCAAATATTAGGTTTCACATAAATTCATATCAATTAAAACTCTTATAAAGTTTTATTAACTTTTAAAAATCATGGTACGAAATCCTAACATTTATAAGAATGGGTATATATCATCATCAAATCGTCGTACCCTGGTCGGATACTCGCCGAGCATCCAGGTGAGCAGGTCGATGTCATGCACCATGCAGTCGTGAAAGATGCCCCCGGAGGTCCTGAGATAGTCGATGGTGGGCAGGGGCGAGTCGCGCGCCGTCAGCCGCATTATGTGCGCCTGGCCGACCTCGCCACGGCGCAGACGCTCGTACACGTCCCGGTAGCTCGGGTCGAAGCGACGATTGAAGGCGCAGAAGAGCGGGCGGGAGGCGCGACGGGCCGCCTCGTAGCACTTGGCCGTGCTCGCCGGCTCCTCGGCGATCGGTTTCTCGCAGAAGACGGCCTTCTTGGCGCCGAGGGCTCGCGTCACGATGCCCTCGTGCGTATAGGTGGGCGAGCAGACGACCACCGCGTCGACCCTGCACTCAAAGCGGATTCGTTATCGTACGTTGATAGTTTTTAATGTCATTGTGTATTACTTTGGATCGTTGTAAACTCGATCGGCCTGTTTGCTACCGATAACGGGGATGTCGTCCAGCCGCCAATACTCCTTCAGGTCCTTCCACTTGGACTCCGTGTCGTCGACGACGTAGAGCAGCTTCACCCTCGGATTGTTCACGAGATTCGAGAGATGTATGGTGCCGGCTCGGCCGAGGCCGAATATCGCCACGCCCAGGACGGGATCGCGTCTCTTCCCGTCGCTCTTCAACGCGCAGTCGTTCACGTATCTGCGCGAACGATTCGATTTAGGCACTAGAATCGATTTTTCTTTTTTTTTGACAATACTTACTTGGAGTACAGATAATCCTCGGGCGTTGGCACGGGTTTCGGCTTCGTGTACGGCGACGCCTCCTTGAACTTGATGGTGGCCATGATCGATCGAGAGAGCTTTGGCGGAAACGAGCGAAATCGGGACACGAAACGTTCGATGCGCGACGGCCTCGTGCCAAGTAGAGGACACCAACGATATCTTCTCGATTATATGCTTTATTATTGACGTAATTTTATCCCCCTTCTCGTGGTGGGAGATTTACATGTCGGCGAACGAAGAAAATCATCGACGACTCTCGATGCCGCCTTCGTTTTTCAAGCGTCACTTTTATTTTTATTATTTTTTTTCCAAGTTCGAGAATCGTGCGATGTTATGTGCACAGTGACGGTGCACTATAACGAATTGCCTATGTGGACAGTGTGTTATTCATCACTGTGACAAGAGGTAAAAACATTACCATGCATAAAGCTACCGTAAAAAAGACAATTTTTCGAAGCTATCGAAATTACGATATGGAAACCAAGGGTTATCTTCGTTGTTATCGAGTTTTAATACCGAGGCATTATACGCAATCGGTGCATTTTTCATCGCGACCGAATTTCAAGGCTCGCTCGATTATGCACTTTGAAAATAAAACTCTTTCTTTACGTTGTTTTTTTTTTTTTTCATTATCGCGTGCTTATACTCGATATAGTATCGCGGTTTCGTCTCCCATCGAACGGAAAATTAATTTTCAAATTCAATTACAGTCATGGAAAGGCGTGGAATAAAAATACGCATTATTAACAATTATATTCTCATATATATTTATTACTGATGTAACGAAATAATAATTAATATTGCAACGAATATTTGTCGCGTGCAAATCACGTAACAATAATATATAATTTTTATAGCAAACAATTCAAAATTTCGATTTAACATGACAAGATCAAAATTTTCTCGCAATATTTTCTCAACTTTTTTTTTCAAAATAGTCATTATACATCTAGAAAAAAATGTGAAATCGCAAGATAAAAGAAGTTTCATATGCTTAACAATTACAATTGTATATTAACTACATCTCGATTTAATCATTAAGCACATTGCATTTAACTGAACTGGCTTACAATTAAAATTTGTCAAAGTCAAATGTTTCAGCGTAAAGCCATGCTTTGACATCACAAAAAATTCTTATTTTACACTTGATAAATGAGTAATGTGGAGTCAAAGTATAAATATAAACATATATTTATTAAAGAGTACAAGTGGTGTACAACGGTGAGAGAATGGTGATACAACAGAGCGACCGCTTGTGACGGGAGCTCAATAGCAACTGACTGCGACACCTCGGAGCGCGAGACCGTTGACCGAACGCCGATGGCAACGCACTCTGGCGAGGACCAGATTTATATATTGAAACTCATCCCGCGTGTACAACTATATATTATACTCTGTTTAACAACACTAACACAAAAAAAAAATACGAAATTTTTTCGTGTTTTGTCATTTGTATGCCATTTCTAATTGCACTATTTCAGAGTTTACTTAAATCTTGTAAACTAAAATTCCTTACCGCTATGCATGTTGATTTATTTCGTTTTCGTAACACGAATCTGAACTTTTATTCGTCCAGAAGCTCATCACACTCTTTCTGCTCATATCTAGCAAATAAGCATGAAGTTAATTTCTTCTTTTCTTTCATAAGCGACATACTTGACGAAGCAAGTATAATGCAATTTTTAACTACAATATTTTGTACAATAATGAATAATGAAAAAATCAACTTCAGTGTTCAATCTATGTTTAATATTAGAAGTAAATATGTACTATGTAATTAATCTAACAAAAAACAAATATTTTATTTACTGTAAATATCTCGCTCTTTTATTCGAAGTAATAACGAGTTCAACATTTTAAATAATTTTTTTAAAGTGATATTTGTATAGTTTTTACATGAACTTTTTTTGCACGCATAATTTCTTAAAATATTAAGCTAGTTACGAGGTCTCATAACTTATAGTTACATTTCAATATCGCAGTTAAAAATTATGATACAAATAAAGTATTTTATTACATACTACTTACAAATATAAATTGATACATTTCTAAATAAATATAATTTTATTTTTTTATTTCTTGATCTTTTTATTACATAAGTTTCAACGAAGCAGTTATTGCTAATCTGCTCGTCAATATGATTACATTTGATATGTTTATTCTTGTATACTTTTGAACTAAACATACTTTTTCTATAATTATTTTGATTGACTGGTAAATTGCAAATCTAAAATTAGAAAAGATCATTAACTGAGCTCTTCAATTTGGCAAGTAAAGACTGTCATTATTCAAGAAGTTAAAAGCACCTTCTTAACGTTCTTTGTAATTATTCGGGTGATAACTAAGTTGACGAATGCACTTTTTAACGCGCTAACGAAAATTTGAATCATTTCCATGTCAATTGCAGATAAAAATGTTGTTCTTCTCCCAAAGTAGAAGTTATTTTAATCAGTTAAATATTGCAGGACTTAAAATAATATGTAAAAGTAAAACTTAATTTTACTGGTCTATGATAGTAGTAAAATTAAAAATATTGCTTGCGACCGGCCATGGAAGACGTACGTGATATTTGTCGTTTTCATACAAATTTATATCGACAGTTCATTTAGTAATTTTTATACAATTATTCGACGTAAAGCAGGACGATAAAATTATATAGTTATTTTAAAGTATCTCACTTATTTTAAAAATCAATTCTAAAATAAATAGCACTTTCAACTCAATTTATAATATTATTTACAAATTTATTTACGTTACATTTTCACTTGAGTGAAATTTTTATTTAATTTTTCGATTTGCAACCAATACAAAATAAATTTGTGTTTTTTTTTCTACTCATCGCTCATAAGCTAGTTTTAGAAAAATCTCTTTCATTCTTTTCAATGATTTTCTATATTATCAGAAATTAAAGTATTTTTAAATTTGGAATGTCAACGATTTTGGATTTCAATATTTAAAAATAGGTGGTGAATAGACGTATTATAATCGTCTTTATAATATTAACTTGCGAAGGGCTTTGGTTTTATATCATTTATACGTACATTCGTTAGTTTTTACTTGTAAATAAAAAGTGTACGATAAAATGAAAATGTTTATGAAACTTGATTTTCATTGCTTACTACATATAATTTGATAATTTGATGATGTTAACTAAAGTTACTTCACTGCACAATATTGCACATTTTGATTTAATATAAATCTGTTGTTAAAAAAAATAAGGGATATAAAAGTCAAATTTTTTTTTCAACTGGACTCGGCGGAATTTTTCGTCGAGTCCCAACGTTTAAAAATTCATTAATTTATTACCAAAAATGCTTGGGACAATATCAATCAACAGAATTGTCATTAATGAAAGTTAAGGGCTCGTTTTTTTAAAAATAAAACTCATATATGTACATTCGATGTTTGTAACGACGAGGCGTCAATTTTCGTGCAATCATTCCTTTTTTCGTCCGATTACTTTTCGTAATCACCGCGAACTTGCCAAAAAGCTGGAATGCACGTGTCGTTTCCTCGGACTCCATTCGTTCCGATATGATAGCAAAAAATAAAACGAGTTGGAAAAAAACTCGCGCGTGTCTAGACTAGAAAGTAATATTGTGCGCCCGCGCATCACATTCGTTGATCATCGCTCCAAGAGATAATCGGGCTACTTTTCGTATACCTCTTTGCGGTTTTTCTTCGGGCGTTGAATTTTTTTTTTTTTTTTGTTTTCACTCTTTCGAGAACGTTTCAACATTCTCGTATAAATATACTTAAGCAGAGTTTTGGCAAATATATCGTTTTTCTCTCTTTCGTTTTTCCTCCTCTCTTTTTTCTCGTACATGGTAGGATGCGTATAGTCTCTCAAATGATGAAGAGATCGACGTACTGGCTGCAGGGCGGTTGATGAATCTGATGAATTCGCTTGTCCATGTCGGGCCTAGGAATCAGCGCTTCGACACGAGGCTCCGCTAGTTGCAAACATTCCGGAGACGCTATCTGGAGAAAAAAAAGGATCTCAATTGAAGGAATCCAGATTAGTCGAATTTCTAAAATCGACTGTACTCACGATGGTGGCCTGCTGAGGAATCGTGGCGATGCCGTGAACATTGGCCGCGGGATTGTAATAGTTCGTCGGGCTCACCGGCGGCGAGGAATAGGTCCAGTACAGCAGCGGAGTGTAGGGCACCTGAGGCGGTCCGCAGGGCAGCATCGCCGGCATCGGCGGCGGCGCCGGGTATATCGTTCCCGGCTGCAAACGAGGCGGCATCATCGGGCTTCCTATGGTATCGAAATATAAGACGAGTTAATTTTGGGTTTTCTCGCCGCTTCTTCGCTTCGAGTACAAATTAATTGTGATTGCAAAACGTGATTACGGATACGGCTTTCTATCGGAGATTTTAAATCATCTGACCGCGACGACAAATCTTTGCAGAAAAGAATTCAGGTTTCTTATGCGATTTTATATAACTTTTGTATATGCATCAACTTCTGTTATTTCGAGACGCGCGATGTTACAGTGACACCAAAGAAATAAAAAATAATCATCATTACAAAGCAAATTAACCCGTTACATCCCTTTGCAAAGAGCCTATGTACAAAAATGTTTAGAGAGTTTTAAAAACATAGAGTCTACAAAAAAAAATAACCATTTCGCGACCCACACATAATCATAACGTATTGTAATGTTCCAAAAAAAAAAAGGATTTAATGATCTTTGTAACGCGAAATCAAAACATCACACATTTTATTATCCTTTTAACTTAGCCATATATTAAATCAATTGTTTTTTTCCATATTGGAGATAAACTTACGATTATCTGATATCGTAAATTTGTTTTTGATGTGTAAATTTCATGAAAAAAAGCACCAATAGAGTTTTTCAATGTACCAAATTAATACACAGATAATCGCAAGTCAATTGCGCCAGCCAGATATTGAATAATGATTTACTTGGCCTACCTGGAAGCACAGAAGTTAGTATATGCACGTAGAAGTCCCGCTACCAAAATCGACACTTGTACCATCATAATTATATACCTTTTTTTGTTTTTGTTTATATAAATGTGTGAATGTGCCGCACCACCTCCATGAGATTCTGCCCAAGAGCCTCGTTTATAAAATGTTGCTTAGATCGCCACATCACCAGGTATAACGTACACAACCAAATATAAATATTTATATACGTACTTGCCCATACAGTATTTTCCCTTTTTTTTTTATCATACGCATCGGCAAAAAAACTCTTTTTTATTCAGTTTTCAACGGATGAACAATGAAGCGAATAAAAAAAGAGTAGAAATGAGATTCGATCATCTACATATATTATTACGCAGAGAATCATGTGGCAAAATTGAAATACAAGCGTTAGAGTACGAATGAAGTACACAAATGAGTTAAAGTAATTTTACGCTTCTCTGTCTGAGTATTTATAAGTAGATGAAGGAGAAGCATTTCTCAGTTGTTATGAACAATAAAACAAAAGATAGATAAAACTAAATGACAAATAAGTCCCATTTCTTTCTTCGACTTAATTAACTTCTTAGCAAGTAAACTGAAAAAATTAATTTCATGAAAAAACGTGTAACTTGCTGCTCATTTACAAAAAAAATTCTATTCATCCTAACTCATGATAGACAAGTTCCATGTTTTGACATTTGAATATATAAAAAATTATTATACTCATGAATAGAAAAATAAAGCAGGATTCTTTGGCAATCTCGTGAAAAACGTGATACTTGGTATAATAATATATGAAAAATTTGAAAATTTTGAGCAATTAAATAAACAATGAATCTTTAAACTCCCAGAATTACTTATCAATCACATCATGGTTTCAATAAATAGTTCAAAGAGTTTTTTTTTTAATGAAAAATGTTTTTGTATGAAAAATAGCTGATGTATCCGCTGAAATTTTATGTTGTTATTAGTTGTAACTCACAGAGAAAAGACCAAAGAAACCTTGATGTACCAAATGAAATAATTGAAAATTTTAAAACGTAACTCGGTCAGTACCGAAATCACGTTTGAGTAAAAAGGATCGATGACCGTACTTTTTGTAATTTTAGATTATGATATTATTATAAACAATAAAAACATGCAGGCATAGCTTGAAATAAAGTATTTTAAAAATTATTCATGCAAATAAACTACTCTGAGAAAAAAGTAAGAAAAGTACGTATTTTAATCATGACTACAGATTACTTACTTTTTCATCAAAGCAGTTCAATTATACCCTCATTTTGTTCTATTGAATTAATAGATATCGTAATATTTAAAAAAGCGAATTCATAACATTAAAGTATGTAACGCTGTTAAAACGTATGTGAGTAAACAAATAAAACAATTTTTCTGATGTTAATATTTAAAAATTGAAGTTCTTATTGCTATGTTAGTAAGTAAAAATTATATAAGTTATGAAAATAATGATAAACAAATCAGCATACGTTTTTTGCGTTTCTCCATCTATCATGAAATCGAAATAAGTATTAAGACACTTGAAAGTAGAAAACAAAAAAGTACGACCACCGTTATAGGGATAAGGTGTTGTGTGTATAAGAGACCACCAAAAACCCGCAAAGCCAAAAAGATCGTTTCCACGTAAGACAATTGTACATTTATTAAACATGATTAAGAATTATTGATTATAATTATCATTACACAAAAATTATACACTTTATATTTTAATTGATGCGTGCCTTAATATATAAATTATATATGTTCATGATCGCGTACGCCAAGTTGTCACTCGTTCAATAATTTTGTTCATTAATGAAAATTACAAAGGCCACGGATTTGTTTCTAATCATTTCTAATTCCTTTTTTTTTATCCATACAAAACACAGTAATGAATTAAGTAGTGCCAATACAATAAGAAAGTACTGCTTTACACCAAGCATTTTTGTTGCGTTTATAATTAAGTACCTTTACTCAAATATAAATGGTGCTTTTCAACTCAAGATCACCAAATGAGCTCTCGCGAAATAACAAACAGAAGCTTGCGTGTCGGCCTTTCAACTTTTAACTATTCTGAAATGAATATTATATATAAAAAAGACTATATACCATTATTAACCCAATGTTAAAAAACACCATGTTACCAGACAAAATATTTTTGTTTGAAAAAAATATCGCAATGGTTTGAGGTAAAAAAAAATTAGTAATAATGTGAAAAAGTGGGATTAAGGTCTTGACACAAGAAACTGTCGCTAAAACGCGAAAGCCAACAAAAAGTTCTACATCAGCCAAAACATAATCAACACCCAAGAACGAGAACTCACCATACTCTCAGAATGGAAGGAGACTTAATGTATAATTCATGTTCAATGATAAAGCAGATTTCATAATGGGAAAGCCACCTTTTTTATGGATGATTCTTATTGTAATAAAAATCATTTTGACGCGAAGTAGTTACCAAAAAATAACTCACAAATTAGATACTGACCGCCAATTTGTGAATTAGTTTTAATGAATTTTCGTTTCGTTTCAACAGCAATATGGTATTTCGATCCATTAACTGTGATAATCGTTATTTCATTGGTTTTGCTTTAGCACTTACACGCACATAGCTATATCCACATTTTCACAAAATATAATATCAAAGCAAGTGTTGCGTTAAGTTTATTACCTGTTCATAAATTATCTTATAATTAATTTTTTAATTATAAATTAGAGGTATATGTGATATATTGTTGAATATAAAAGCTCGATATTTCTGTTAACCTTTAAAAATATAAGTACAATATATTATCAAGGTGATGTTTTCACTCAACTTTTGTTTACTTTCCATCTACTCTATCACCTCATTGTTTTTAACAAGTATATTCATGAAAAGAAAAAAATCATAGCTATTAGGGTCTAAGCTTTTCAATGTTGAAGACACAATTTAAATGAACACACCTCCAAGTACCAGTCATGCATTCTTAACTAATAAAGCTTGCACCAGAGTAACGGTATAACAAAAACTTCTCGCGAAATTTTCAAATTAGTATCGTTACAATAGTTTTGGGTTTACGTCACTGTTTCAGGAAACCGCGTCAAATCAGAGAAAAAAAGTATATATTAAGGCTTGCCCAGACACTGTGATGGAACATGAAGATTTAGTTGATTAAACTCGATTAACAATTACACGCAGTAAAATACTATTTTACTTGAAGCAATTCTAATTAGTTTTATGGAATGTAACACTTATTATTATCTGAAGCTCTTTTTAAACCATTGAGCTTATATTAGGTCCTCTTTTTAGCTTATTAAGCTAACGTATAACTAAGGTCAAATTCAAGGGCGAGCACCTAGACAAATCACTCGTTTGTAATATTAGCCTCGAAGCCCAGAGCACGACTTGCGGGAAAATTGGGATTATTTACAGAATTCAAGAAGAGCTGCAATTATATCTATAATATATGTAAAATATATTCTAAGACAGAATAATGATGATTATTCTTAAAATAGACAATGATTTCTTCCTAATTGCTAAGTAAAAGAATGTAGAAAAAATATATTAACAACAAGGAGTGCTTGTCGAGAGCAAGCGAAATCCTAAGTACATTGATTATCACTGCCATTAGAAACTACACAATTGAAACTTGCAAAAAGGCACTTAATCGGCACTAACATGTCAAAATCCGTATTCGTGGATTAATAATTCACGGACGATCACAAATTTATAACATTCATCGTTATAAACATAAATATATATTGTACAAATGTGTGTTTACATTCAATCAAAGGAATGCCTAAAGGAAGTGTTTGGATATAATGTAAAATCATTTTTATCCAAGAGTAAATGCTAAAAAAGAGTACGAGTACCAGTTTGTTTTTTTTTTTTTATCTTTTAATAGCAGTCTTTATTCGCGTGTACCAGTATCGCTCACATATAATATCTGGAATATTATAATCTTACTCAGAGTGAAAAAATATCACGAGTCGTAACTTTTAGAGACAAAAGAAGTTACTGAATTCCCTACAATAAATAGAGCTAAGATTTCTTTATTAAACTCTGCATCATATATCAAAACTCGACACGATATCCAACTTCTCTCTATACTATAATAAATCTTTATTAAAAATCCTTAATAGAGTACTCTCAAAATTCATAGAAAAAACATGATTATTCATTTAAATAACTAAATATTTAATCTGAAATTCAGGTATATCGACCGCGAAAAACGCGGACGACAAAAAAGAAGAAAGCGCCAAGCGTGGGGCAAGTTCGCTTCTCGGGTCTCTACATCGGCGGAAAGAAGTGAGGGGGATATGCGAGCGTCGGGGGCTGACCGGCCTGAGTTTGGAAAGCCGCGGCGGCGGAATTCTGCCAGCTGGCCCGTTTGGGCGCTTGCGAGGCGGACTCGGCCGGGAAGGCCGACTCCCAGGAGCGCTTGAGGCTCATCAGGGTGGCGGGATTCATCGGGACGCCGGCTGCGGCGGCGGCCATCATCGCGGCGCCCGGCGGGGCCGCAGCCGCCTGCATGTAGCCGGCGGCGTTGGCGTGGGCCTGCATGTGCATGCCCGCCTGCTGCTGGGCGCGCAGCAGCTGGACGCGGGTCGCGTGGCTCATGTTCGGCGGCACGTTGAAGAAGAGCAGGGGCTGCTGATGATGATTGGCGGCGGCCTGCTGCATCGCCGCCTGCACGGCCTGCAGATGGGCCGCCTGCTGCTGCTGCTCGTGATTCGCGTAGGCGGCGGCCTGCACGAACTGGTGATGATGAGCGGGATGCTGCGGGTGATGGGTCGGGGCCGCCGCGACTATGCTGCCCGGCAACGCCAGGGCCTTGCTATTGGCGGCGGCGGTGGCGGCATTGGGCGAGGTGGAGGGCGGCACCGTGGTCGGCGCCACGGCGTGGGGTCCGTTGGCGTGCGAGCCGTTCTGCGCGAGCGCCATCAGCCACAGGTGGTCCTGCTGCCTGCTAAAGGCCTGAGCTTGAGCTTGGGCCTGGGCCTGGACCACCTGGGCCACCTGAGCTTGCGCTTGGGCTTGGGCTTGGGCCTGTGCCTGGGCTTGGGCTTGGACCTGGGCCGTCTGGGCCTGCATGAACGCGTGAATGTCCCAGAGAGGGGAGGCGGCCGGGGGCGACGAGACCTGCGGGGTCGTCGCGACCTGGGGGGGCAGACCGGCCGCGGCAGCGTTGGCCTGGGGCGACACGGCGGCCGCGCCCAGCGGCGCCGACGATAACAAAGCCTTACCGGGTAGAGGGGCGCTCGTCAGCACGAGGCTCATGTCTTCGCCGCTGCACTGGAACACCTCGATGTAGCGCTGCTTCTTGCCGAAGATCATGAAGCGATGGTGGCGCTGCTGGGCGCACGCGAACGCCGCCGCCTCGCTGTTCATCTGGATGAAGGCCTCTCCCGAGGGCTGGCCCTGCGAATCGAGAATTCGTCGTCGTGAGTCTCCTCGGCTAATGCAGGACTATAATTATAAGAGGCACGAGATTTAAAAATAGATCTTACCGTCGCGTTGTAAACCATGTGAACGCCCTGATACTTGATGTTTTTCGACAGCTCGCCCAGGAACTCGAGGATGTGTTCGACGGCCGCTTCGTAGGGTAGGCCGCGCAGCCTCACGCAGTCCTTGCGCGTGCCCGAGGGCATGTAATGCTGCGGAAGTATCGGCGGCAGCGGCGGCAATATGTTCCTCTCGAATTGCTTCGTGTCGCTCACTCGATTCAAGACCTGCGCGCAAATTTCCGCATTAGCGTGTCTCGGTCAAAAAAAAAAAAACAAAAAAAGGGTAAAGAATCGACAGCTCACCTGCTGCACCTCGGCGGTCGTGCTGCGAAACAGCTCGATGTAGCGACTGCCGATGCAGTCCCTGTGCTTGCTCAGCGCCTTCTCGGCGTCCTCCTCCTTGGCGAAGAGCACGAACGCGTCGCCGGTCGCGCGGCCGTCGGCCTTCTTCACGAACAGCACGCCCTCCTCGCCGTCGAGCACCTGGCACGGCTTCTGGCCCTGGGCGAAGAAGTCCAGCACCTGCTTGGCCGTGCAGTCGTAGGGCAGGCCGCGCATGCGCACGATGACCTGGGCGCCGCGCGACAGGAAGGCGTGCGCCTCGCCGTTGGTGCCGCCCGCCACCGAGACGAAGTCGTCGCCCGACGCCTTGTACACCTCGATGTAGCGCTGATCGATGTGGTGCTTGTGCCGCTTGAGTGCCATGTCTCTGTGCTCCTTGCTGACGAACCTGACCAGTGCCTCGCCGTTGCGTCGACCTTGCGCGCTCAGACACAGTGCCACTCCGCCTCTGTCGGGGGCCATCAAGTATAAAGATTTAAGAGCGATTTTCAAGAATTTCAAATGGTAATAAAGTGTAAAACTCGAAGAAATGTGCTACGATCGTCGTTTTAAAGCTGTACATGCGATTTAATCGAAATGATTCATCGCGGAGGTTCAACGAAACTTGGAAGCGACTATACTAGTGTATAGCACTCGTTGTGTACGTAACACGCGGGCATGCAACTTTCATTTCGATGCAAACGCACATAAATGAAGCATAATAAAAAAAAAAGGAGTACGCACTTCGTGCAATTTAAATTGTACTTTCGTTACCTTTCCTGACGTCGTTCGTAAAGCTTGCACAGAGTAAAAGTTTCAGTTCAGTATCGGGCGCATGAAGAATTGGGTAAGGATTTTTTTTTTTTGGTTTGTTTGTAAATAAGTTTATATAGCGTTAATTAGTACATGTATATAGGTATACACGTGAAAGCCAAGGAAAGAGAGTCGAATATGCGATAAGGTTTAATATTAATATATTATATGTGTTGTACTCACTTTGCGACATTAAGTCCTCGGAAGAACTTGGCCACGTCTTGATCGGACGATTGCCAGGGAAGTCCTCGGGCTCTGACAACGACGAAGTTATCTACTTTCTCATCTTTCGAGCTGAAATCGTAATCAAAAAATAAATAAAAATTTCAATTTAGTCCCAGGGATTAAAACTTCCATTCGCTCGACGAATAACGCTTTTACGAGAGCCACCGCAACGGCAGCGGCAGGTTTTAATTTCGAAACTTTCTCTAAGTGCTCAAATTACAGCAATGAGTTTTATAATGAACAGGCCTCTCGGTGAGCAAAAATTTGACTTACCATATTCCAGGTTCGAGGACTATGTTCACCACTTCGGAGTTGTTGAATACATGACCTGCAACAGAGAGACGTTCGACGTGCAGCGATTAACGATCGATTCTTATTTACCAAAAAAAAAATTTCATCTTCGTAATATCACCTACGAATTCACGCAGCTAAAGCATTTTACTCGAAACTAAAACTTTTATCGAAGAGTTCGGCGAGCTTTTTCAAGCACGCGCGTATCAAGAACTGAACCAAGCATCTAGCGATCAGATTCAACTTTATCCTCCGCAGCAGGTGATGCACCAAGATCATTACGATACATTCGATCGTGAAATAAAAAAAATGCCAAACGACGTGTGCCCCCGTGAGTGCGAACCGAGCGAAAGTTTCGAAAGAACTGCGGTCGAGGTGACAATTTTATATTCGCGATTTCCCAAAGCACACGAGGAAACACGTATGTACGAGCTTCGACCGTAATCGCCAAGTTGGCTCGAACGCGCGCGCTTGAATTGTAAAGTAATCGTACACCCTCGCGCGTGGCTCTTATTTCCATGACAGGCACACAGCGAGCTATACTCTCTTCTTTGTTTTTTTTTTTTTTTCAAATTCGCAGACGCAGCACTTGCCGTGCCGTTTTTTTTTCCTTTCAATTGTTTTACGCTTCATATACACGTAGATAGGCCGGAAACGTAGCGATTTATCGTATAATGGTCAATTTTCAGTTCGAACATGTTTTTTTTTCTGCTGCCTCAGGGTACCGTTACAAGTATCGACTTTTTTTTTTAAATTTATAACATCCACCGTGATTAAAGATTTTCAGACGATTTACTTCCAATTACATATTCGTCGAAATAATGATAAGGTAAGACAGATGTAAATTGAGAGAAAAAAAAATTATAACTGATAGTTTATGCTCTTACCATCCTTGATCATTCTTTGAATGATCGCAACCATATCCTGAGCTTCCTGTACATGGAAATCATGATCCTTTTCGCGTGGAAGGTTAAAATCTATCGACGTGTGGTTAAGGAAATATTTCGTTATTGTTTCTCTACACTTGTATGTACAGTTTAGATTTTTCAGTTTATCGATTAAAAATTTATGAGTTAAAAAAAAGATTAATTCGGCTTAATTTTCATGCAACCAGCGCAAAGTGTTTTTTTATCCGATTTAAATAAGAAACGAGTGTCGAAGAAGCGACAGAGAAGAAGAAGAAGTTTCTTCGAGTCGATAATTCTTAGCCTTGTTTCGTAACTAATGGAAAAAGCGTTGATATAAGTTATCGTCGATTCGTGCTTCAAGCTGGGGCTTACCGAATGATCAAGACGCAGGGATCGATCCAAAAGTGCCATCGGATATTCGATCACACGCGCGTATAATTATTACGAAGGATCCTCGTGTGTGGACCTCTTCGAATCTCTGGAGAGCAAAAATCGGCAAATTCCGTATGTGTAACGCAGCGGCAAAGTACACGATAAACTGCGGGCCTCGATACAGTTCCGATCGACTCTCGCGAAAGATAATCAAAGCTCGACCTCTGAACTCCGAGAAAGAGTGCATGCGTGTAAGAGAGAGAGAGAGCAAGCAAGCGTATATAACAGCAGCTGAGCGAGGCGATAAGACGGCCTCCTCTATATAACGTATATAACATAACGCTGACACTACTGTGCATGTCGAAACGTATGTATGTATCAGGCAGAAAAGCTCGAAATAAACGCTTGAAAACTTGCTAACGAATAGAGAAACGGATAAACAAGTTTGATTTGTTTATTGCTGGAAGTGGATCGATCCAAGTTTTTTTCTATACTTTTCATTGGCGCAAGATCGAACGACGTTTCGCTGGTAACGATCTCTCGTGTATAGGATACACACGCGAACGTCGAACGCGAAGATAAGAGTAAGCTTTCGAAGCCTCTCTCGCGAACGCAACAGGTGGTCGCTCGATGGTATGCTCAAACATCGCGACGCGCGTATAAATATAACGGGCGTTTATCCAAGTGCCGATCGTGCATACCTTTATTATAACGCATATACATACGCGTACATGATCAATCGATCGTATATACAATGCACACACGTGAAACGCGAGAGAGCCGCGAAACGAACCTCTCGCTGCACTCGCGGGGGCTGTTTACAAAAGTCCAACATCGATCACACGCAGCGATTGCTCTCGAGAAAAAGTTTGTTCTCCCTCTCTTTCTGGCGCGCCTGAGTCACACTTGCGCGTGTGCTTTTTTTTCTTTCTCTTCTTCTTCCTTGTTTCTATGACTCTTTGCCTATAGCGCTGCGCCACTCGACTCTTTTCTACTTATTGTAATATAACGAGCTGCTGCGCGGCGTTCACACGAGGCGCGTGTGACATTATAATATAACGCGCGCGTGCGAGCGAGCCACTCGAAGGGGCCGATTCTCGGGCGAGCGCTATTGAAGCTTGAGAGAGTATACCCCTTCGCGGCCCAAGAAGAAGAAATTATCTTACTCGTACTCGTTGATAATACGCGCGACGCAGAGTCGTTGTAATACATGGGTATAAAGTAATCTCGATCGATAGCGACGAAGACGACGACGACGATCGAGTAATAATAACGTCTATAATACTAAAGACGCGGATAGAGTCGCGTTGGAAAAGTTTGCGGTCGAATTTATGAAGTATCGAAACACGATGAAACGCGACTTTTCATCCCTGCGCATTCGCAATACGCGTAATAATCGTGGATAAAATAATAATAATAATCGCAAATCGCGCACCAAAGTCACATAAACATCCGCGAGCCACAAAGTACAGTTTCGTCGTTGTGTGTGTTTTTTTTTTTCGTCGTCGTCGTACAATCAATTGCGTAAGCTGCGTTTAACGGAGATAAACGATAGCGAGCGCAAGGCGCGTATTACAAGTATACCCGTGCAATGGCTTTTAGCTTGAAAAATATCGAGTGTCGAATGCAAAATGTGCCGCATACCGTCGTCGACGTCGACTCGACCGTCGACTCGAGTCGCCAACTGCAACGTACGTAATATGCGCGAGCGAGCGGATATGCTGTCTTTCTCTCTCTCTCGCGTCGCACGCACCAGTTTAGATACGACTTCGATATTGGTGTTATTATTTTCTTCCTCTTTTTTTTTTGTGGAACGATTCGCGAGCAGAAGGAAAAAGAAAATGCTCGTTTAATTAGCCTCGAGTTATCGAGTGAATTTTCTTACCTCGGTAATGTCGATGGATGAAAAGACACCACTCGCCGTTGGCGACACAGTTTACCGATCTCTCTCCTGTACGTGCACGAGACGAGCTTTAATATCGCACAAAACTACGAGCACAACGAGCAGCACCACCCGCGAGAACGTCGAGCATTTGTGTTCTCCACGCACCGACTGATCGCGAGCTTTCGTCCTCGCTTTAGACCAGATCGGAGCTGACGCCGCACACATGCACACACACGCGCGTGCTACACTTTTTTCGCGCACACGCACACACAACTTATTCTCATGGGTTCGGAGTGTAAGGCGACGTTTAGTCCGTCGACATCGCGCGCTACGATGCGAGTGTCAACCGCGCCGCAAAACGCAAACTCCGATATGATATACGTATGGCGGCGGCGGTGGTGGCGGTGGCGCACGAGTCCCGCGCGTTTACGCACGCTCGACGTCTTGGTACAGTTAGTACACGTATGTGCTTGACAGATCTCGCCCCGGTCGCTTGCTGCTGCCGTTGCTCTTATACACGGTATATATAAGCTCGTATAGGCGAAACAAATGTGCTTTTTAACGCACACAACAAAATAGTAGAGTCGCGCGATCGTTAATGATGTATGGTACCTCACGAGTACGGCGCGCGAGCTGGCTCGAGCTCTACTCGAGCTAAGAATCGTCGTATCGGTGCGGCAGCTCGTATAAAAGCTGCTGAATCGCTCGACTTATACACATACGTGCCAGCGAGATCGCGCGTGAGAAAACGACTCGGATGACGATCGTTCGTCTCCGCGCAGCAAGCAGACGACGACCGACCCGACTACGAGATAAAGCGCAAAGTCAAGACTCAGCTTTTATACTTGTAGTTCTTTTCTCTGCAGTCGCGAGCGCAAAATCAGGGAGATTCGAGTGCTACGTATCGAGAGACGCGCGCGCACCAAATCCGGACTATACCGATCTCTCGCTCGCGGAACAGCATAGAGAGAGAGAGAGAGAGAGAGAGAGGATTTTTATTTTATTACGTACGCGAGAGAGCGGATTCTTTGTTGTACAAAAACGAGCGACTAAAAATAGATAACATCTGTTTTGCGTGCGTGTGTCGCGCGACATTGTGGGCCGCGTACTACACGCACAAGGCTTTGCAATAATACACACGCGAGTCGAGTTAGAGAACTCGATTAAAATACTTAATATGTCTTCATTGTCGCGTGCGAGTGTGTGCGTATATAGTACGGCAAATTTTTGTAACGGCGTTTCGGCGGCCCGCGAGAGAGATTGGTATCGATCTTTCGGTTCGATTCTTGGTATTATACCGATTGTTATCGGTCGTGGCATTAGACCGATGACGATTATCGAAGCGAAACGTCGATCGAGAGCTCGAAAATGTTTAGACAGAAGGCACGAGTGCAGCAAAAGTCAATGAGAGATGACTAAACGACGAATTGCGAAACGTACGCAATAAGTGTACGCAGGAAACTGAGGAGAGAAAAACTACTTCATTGTTTGCGCATAGATTATTAGTCGCGCTCGACTCTCGAGGCAAGGCAAAGAGAACGAAAAAAAAATTGGTAAATTATCATAAAATTTTCTGAGCCCATTTTCTCATGCGCACATGTTTAAATGTCCGTGCTTGTGCAAATGCGCTGCCACAGCTCGCGCGGAGGAAGTCGTCGTCGTCGTCTCGATCGTTGAAAAGGGAGAGAGACGCGGCACAAAGTGCCATCTCGAAACGTTTGACGGGCTCAACGAGCGCATACGTAATATACGCGCTTACATGTATACGCTGCAGAGCCGTGAGGCGAGCATCGAAGCTCGACCGTTTTGCGCGACTCGCGTTCTCGACTTTTTTGCATTGGTAATTTCGTCGTTGGGAAAAGTTCCCTGACACCGTTGACCTGCGCGCGCGCGACGCAAGTCGTATCATGTATAGGTACACTCGGTCTATAAGAGTGTGTGCCTAAAACCAGATCTCGTTACGACCCATACCGAATCGTTAATAATACAAATCGTTCGCGTATGATATATAGGTGAAAAAGGATACATTCGATCATGTCCTGGATGCCGAGCATGGAGAGCTCGTCGTTGGACGAGTAGCAGGCGGCGAACTCCTTCCGCAGATCGTGGAAGGTGCAGTAGTGCGCCGGCAGCTCGATGTGTTTGTTGCAGGCCTCCGGGTGCAGGCACTGGCGCAGGGGCGCCTGTCCGTCCACGACGAAGCGCGGAGTGCTGCCCGCCGCGACGCACGTCAGCGACGACCACCACGCCTCGAACTGCAAAAAAGAATGAACAAAAAAAAATCAAGGAATTAATTTTGTTTTTTGAAACAACAGCAACAACAACAACAACAACAACAACAACGTCTACTATAGTCGCGTCGTCACTCGTCCCCAAAACGATAATGGAGCTTGCGTTAGTGGATAGTACCCCTATCACTCGGTGGCAAATGCATTATGAAAAAAAAAAATATATATCTGTATCGTGTGCGCGCGGCTGTTGACATTTGCCAATCGCGACGCGGGCCCGTATGATTACCCGTGCGCATATTATAGGTAAATGCACACGACGATGAACGAGAGCTGTCTTTTTTTTCGTCGTTGCGTTGTCGAAATCGATCGAGCTGTATAATATGTATTTACCGGTGAACGATACTCGTCCCCGCGTCGGAGATTATGAGAATATCGATATATAGACCTGTATATCTCCTAACGAGGCAAGTGTCGAGTCCCCGTAATAATAATACGAGAGGTTGAGCGATAATTATCGTGTGTACCGGCTTTTAGGTTTTCGTCTATATCAAGTCCCGCGTACACAGCCGCACCGATATATATATTTCACAAGGAGATTAATAGCACTTGTAGATTTTCGATTATTTTTTTTTATTATTTCAGCAACGCGCGTAGCTCGCTCGAACCTCCTGGGCCCAAAAGTAATTAGCGCAGCGCATACGTATATGTGTGGGTAAGTCAAATGTACGTTTGTGAAAGTTCCAGCAGCCGAGGCACGCGATGCATATTGGACGAAATATTGCGCTAACACATGTCAGGAATATTATTGCAGTACGTAAGTGTGTGTGCACACGTGTGATTGTGCGGCACGCATATTTTTCGTTTTACGCGGATGGAAAAGTGATTTCTCAATGGGGGCCTGCGTAGCTCCGACGCACACACACACACGAACACGTGCATGCGTGTAATTTTCTGCATCCTATTCCAAATTAACGCGCGCCCATAATGATCAATCACGCGTGTAGACCGTCGTAGCTGCCGCGCGGAGATCGTGAAATCGGTGTACAGAAACGATTTTTCGCGCGCTCGTATGCGCTTTCTAAATATTCAAAAGCTGCTGCGTTATGTACATCGTAGTCCTCCTTATTGCTGCTGTTCAACTATACCAATGACAAATGAGAGTAAAGTGTATGTGCATGTTTGTGTGTATGTGTATGTGTGCGTTTGCTGCTGCAGTTCGACGAGTCTGTGTTTCGATTCAATTTCGCATTCTCTCGGGGGTATATCGAGCGAGCCTATATAGTATACGTGCGCACGCCACGCATGATTGATCGACGAGTTTCGAGCGTGTGTGTGCGTATGTGCGCATTTCTCGAGAAAAAATCATCTATTCTCGGAGGTCCAGAGCTCGAGAGCTAATTATCGATTACTCGAAGGAATTCGCGAATCGAAATGACGTCGTCGCGTCGAGTAAAAAGTAAAATCGTTTTTGCCTCTTTTTTACGTACGCGCGTGTAACGTCAACTCGTCGCAGCACGTGTGTAAAAACGCCAACGATATAAAAAAAAAAAAAATGGGGGAGCGCGATAGAGAGACGGTAGAATAAATATAAAGGAAGAATATTCTCTCGCAGCGAGAAAAAATCTTCATAAGCCGTTGCGATTCGCCGTCTCTGCAACGGGATTTAGTTTTTCTCGCCTATATATATATAAGCACGGCGGCGGCGCGTGAAAGTTGAACATGCGCTGTGTGTGCATTGTCGAACGTTGCACTCACTGGCTGGATATAGGATGGATGGATCACGCGAGCTTCGCAGCGCGAAATTCTATATAATATTATAATGGTCGAAAATGGTTTGTTGCGCGTTCGTCGGTTCCTTGAATTTGGTCAGTCTTGCGCGCGCGCGCCCGCGAAATACAAGAACCTCGAGAAAACGGTATTATTAAATCAGCTGGTCGTTATACACGCGCGCGCTTCGTAATAAACAAGGGGGGGTGTGTGTAAGTATAACACACACATACATACACAACATACATCGGAGCTACGGTGCGTTCTCACGTGTAAGTAAATGGTTATTATATATCACATAGCCGTATCCATGTACACGCTACACATACCTGCTGAATGGCTTGGTGAAGAGGAATCCCGTGTTCGCGCAGGTACTCCTCAGTCAAGGCTGGTGCGTGCTCGAGGGCCGCTTCCCTGACGACGCCGCCGCTTCCGGCAACATCTGCTGGATTATCGCTACCATTGCTGCTGCCGCCGCCACGACCGCCGTTATTTTCATCCTCCATAACCATCGGCTTTATTACGTACTGTTGTTTTCCCATTACCTGTAATTAAGATTTTACACGTGGATAAGTCAATTATAAATTCGAAAATTATTAATATTGCGCTTGAAAAAATAAAGCACATAAAAATCGAGTATAAAATCTCTCTCGCTATACTCTGGGGGGTATTGTATTACGTATATTTATACGTAGGATATGGTTATAAATATTAAAATATTCACTCGTCTCTTCTTCTCGTGTAGGGAAGCCCGGCTTTTTTTTCTGATTTATTATGAAATTCTCCAAGTATCGGTGATAAAAATTAGAATTCTATATGTATGAAAAAACCACTTTTTTTCTTGACATCGAGAGATTAAAAGGATAACAGGTGTTAAATCTTATATCTTAAATATCGTGAATGCTTTTTCAAGGATTATATATCATAGAATTAGTTGTGGTTTTTTTATCCGCACACACACACATACGCATGCGCTTCAAAAAGTAGAGAATCCACTCCGAGCTCTCGTATAATCTGCGTACGTGTATGTGTATATAAGGAGCATAAATAAAAATGAGATTATTATATAGCAGCAGCAGGTCAAGAGGAATTCTTCCGCTGCTTGAAATCCAGTTTAAATGTCTAATTTAGCGAATAGCGCGCATACCGCGATTTTCAGGCATTAAAGAGCGCATCGATATTTCCATATACATAATTATTATTAGCCGGCTGCTGCTGCTGTGCGATCGAATTCATATACTGGTTGAACGAGTTATTACGAGCACGCGTACTCACGCATGTGTATTTACAATTTATACGCACACACACATACACACACAACAATAAAAAACAGAAGGATTCAGAATTGTAATTATTTCGTGTCAAGGAGATCTTCCCTGGCGATACTATAGACTGCATCGTTTTTCTCTCTCGTCGCTCCGCGGTTATAATGGTGATATACTTTGTACGAAAAATTGCCCCTGAAATCGGTCTGTCGTCGAGAGGCCGGACGGTCGAGCTGCGCTCGGCGCGGTATAACCGGCGGCATTCGCGAAGGGGCGATCGTCCTTTCCTCGTCGCGCGAATTTGTAATTATAATCGGAAGAGACGATAAGGCAGATCTTCGTTGGAGTCGCGCGACCGATCGATCGTCGATCGACGAATTCGTTTTCTAACGAATCTGTATAGCTGGAATTTTAACCGATCGCGTTGACTTCGATATGATAATTTCTGCCATACGAGTATCTGTTCGAGTAGACGTGCTTCGCCATTAATCTTCTGCTTTTTTTTTCATTTATCGCGCGACGATAAGATTTAAGTAATTGCCTCGTCTTTTTCCGCTCGTCGCGGTTCGCGCTGTGAGTAAACGCACTTTTAAAGCCCTTTTGAAGGATCTGGAAACTCGCATTTTTTATGCTAGAGTTAATTGTTTACAATGCAAGATGCACACCCTATCGTATGAGATTTTCAGTCTTAATTTTACCTTTATCTATCTTAAGATTTCTTTGCTTCAAATTTGTTTCGTACAATATTTTTTGCATTATTTATGAAAATCTATTTTATCTACAAGTCATTCAATAATTGGTTTACGTTAAAGCTCATTAAAGCTCAATTATTTTCATCTTTCGTTTGATCTTAAATATCATAAAGAATCATAGAAAATTAACTAGGTCTTTACATTGTAATTATGAAATATATTTTGCCTGCTAATGCTTAAAAATGCAAGAATGTAATCGGAGAAGAATTCGATATGAATAAATTTATTGATACAATTGACGTTTTTTTTATTTATAATTTCGTAACTGTCAGATACGGAAGATTTGAATGAATTGTTTTTTCTCGCGGCTCTGTTGTAGATCGAGAAGCGCGTGCGATGATTTTGTATACAAATTCAGCGAGCGATGATGACATTGAGGCCAAAAATGAACTTGAACAAACGAAACGCGATGTCAGCAGCTCCCCCCCAAGAGAAAAGGAAAACGATAAACGACCAAGATTTTATACAACTCGCGACGACGATAATAAAAACAGCTCAATAATGAACGCAGCTTTGCAAATCTAACCAAATCGCACGACCCGTTCTCTCCTCTCTCTCTCTTTTTTTTGTTCTTTTCTTTTTTTTTCGATGCTCGCTCGCGCGCGATTACATAAATATATACCGTGCACCGAAGAGTTATAATATGTTAATGATATTTCGCAGATTAGATATGCATCGCCGGGTCGCAGATGGAGCGTACATTATTATATATACGCGCGCGGCGGCGTACAATATAATACTTACAATGGTAAGTCGTAATGTGTATCATCTATTTAGCTTACATCTTAGAATTATGCATTTACAATATCATCGAGAGGCAGCAGCAGCAGCCGTGAGTCGAGACGCGCATAATCTCGCGATGTCACGCATATTAGTCAACACATTCGTGTCAAAGATTATATTCTAATTACGAAAGACTCGTTTTGTACACGTGATGAGTCTTTATGGCTAATTAAAGGACATCGTTTAGCAGTTTTTATATCGATCGTCGCGCGATTAATGCAGATTCTTGTAAAATAATTGCACAAGCGGATGAAAGAGAAAAAAAAATCAGCGGCAGCGAAGAATAAAAAGAGATCACGTGTCGAGTTATCGCGTACAACAGGCATACGCATGCACGAAACAGTTTTGCACGTCGAAAGATTCGCATCGTTTATAAATTTTTAAATGTACGCGAAAAACTTGGAAGGCGCCAAGGCACCAAGTGTATCTTGGAGGTATTTAAAGCGCGCATCGAAGTCGCGATCGTAACTCGGCACAGGCAAAACAAAAAAAAGAAAAAGAAAATCAAGATTTCGCCATTCTCGGTGGAGCGTCGAATTTTTCCCTATTTGACTTGTATGAGTAAGAAAAATTCGCGCATACGAAATTCCACGGGTCCGAAGTCGAGGCTGAGAGAAAAGAAAAAATAAATCATAAAAAACTGGCGTATATAGTGGTGGAGCGCGCGCTCGCGCATACGTTCATGGAAACGTTAAGTAGTCGTTTTTTTTTATCGTAAATAGTATAACGTCATGTCTTCTTGCGCGCGGAGAGCGCGTATATTTAAACAAGACGAGAGCTATGCAGCAGCAGCAGCGACTAGCCGAGCGAGTCCACACATGCATGCGCGCCAGCTTTATAATATATTAATAATATAATATGAGCAACGGACTAAAACAGAACTATGATGTATATACAAGTTGCGTATATGTGTACAATTGCGAGTCTATGTATGGCGAACGAAATGAAAAAGAGAAAAAAAAACGAAATGTTTTCTATACCTGTCCGGTAGAGGATTTGCAAGGCAATCCGCGTTAAATAAAGATGATTTACAATTGCGCGCCTTTTTTTACGATCCTCGTAAATAGCCGCGTCGTCGACGTCGTGTATAGACGTGCATACATAAAGGATCTACGCGAGGATAGGCTAACGCGCGCATCTATTCGTCAATTGTGAAATCCTCGTCTTCGTGAATTAGCGCGCGTCGCTACCACAACATCTTCGTTAGTATATAGCTCGACGGCAATTTTCAATGTGGCGTGGAGCGAGGCTTTGCGTATCGAGCCATTTTTGTCCGATGGACGGCGAGCTTCTTTCGACTCGTTCGAAATATCATCGATCGGATATCGGAATCGATGATTCGTTCTTTTCGCAATTGGGAAAAAGGCAACGAACGAATGTTTACGCTCGGGTGGTCGATGTAACTGTGAAACTCGTCGAAACGCCCTAAGAGCCTGCGCGCAGGTGTAATGCATCCTTCGACGCGGCATAAAACCGAATGAAAAGGAAATCCTGCGTACGAAAAAGAAAAAAAAATAATAAACAACTCGATAGATCATTCTCAGCGGCGGCGGCCGAAGTCTCTTTACATACGCGCCATAATAATTCATCTAAATATCGTTGGCCTTATAGATGCAGATTTTGCGTCAGATTTATATATATTCATACACGACTCGGGCATGGAATATACGCAAGCGCGAGTACTTATTATGCATGAGCATAGAAAGAGACACGGACTACAACGTCCAAGTTCTTATACCACGTGCGTTCGACGCGGTTATATACTCGCTGGTCGAAACGTATTACTTTCGTTACTTACGAAAAGAGAAGAAAAAATGTTATGAAAAACGCGAAGAAGCGTGAGTGCCTCCTACGACATTCCGAGTCGCAGCTGCAGCAGAAAACGTCGATGTATACGAATGCACATTAGAGAAGTTGTGGCTCGTCGTACGCGCTTATTATAATGCATTATATATGTAGGTAGAGATCGCCGGCCGGTCGTCCGATATATATACAACAATAATAATGCATATATATACGAGTTACACTAGATATATATGCGGCGTCGAAGCAGGAAGCCGTATAATATTATAATATACACACAGCAGCACATATGTATACACGGGTATAACAAACGCACGCGGCATATATCGGAGCCCGCATTGACCTTACGGCTCGTTTTACATGCAAACTTTGTGTGTCGCTCGACGTATACGTACGGCCTGATTTGCCGCTGCGCACCTCTGCCCAAACCGAATCGACTCGCGATGGACATTTTTTCGTCGGTTCGTTCGATCGACGAATAATTAAATTATTCTTTTCCCCTCTCTGTGTGTGTTTTCGGAGCGCTTCGCGATCGGTATTATGTAGCGCGATTCGAAATCGAAACGGAGCGAAGCGAGGCATGTAAAATAACATAATCGATGCTCGTCGTGTATTACATGTATATAGTCGAGAGGAAGACAATGCGCAGCGAAAGAAAGAGAGAAACAAAAGAAAACGATCAGACTCGATTGTTGAAAAAAAAAATTATTTATTCCACTTCTCGATCGTATTTTGTGTATACGCACACATCGTATCGATGTTTATATACACACACATATCAATTATAAATAATCGTTGGGATGAAGATGCTAAACGATTTTGATATATCGGCACACGTGTAATCGTCGCTCTCTCTTAATTTATTATATACATATATTTGTTTGTGTATCATCGAGGAGCCAAGTACGATCGCTGATATTGTGCATACCGATAACGTTGAAA